GACGGGAGTGGATGCTCGCGACATCAGCGCTTACGGCGTCATAGTGTTCAACTACACGTTGGCATTTTCGTTGCATTTGTACGGATTTACACCCGTGTCGCGCCTAAAATTTTTACACCATATCGCGCCTAAAGAAGTTTACTTCAAAATATCTACTGCCACGGATATTTATGTAGGTTGCCATGCGACAGATCAACAATCATACATTCGTCAGCAGTTTCACAAAAATCGGTTATTGATACCGGGGGTTTGCCGTATGAAATAATTTTAGTTCTGAATAAATTTACATAATAACAACTAATATTGATGTAAGTGATGGCTTAGCTAATGGCTGTGTAGGAAAATTAGTGTACATAGAATGTGGCGATAATGATGAACTTCTACGTTTATGGTTTGAATTTCCTTGTAAGATAGGTAACAAAATTAGGAAGAAAGCTGTACATCATATTCAAACTCTTAATATCAGTAGGACAGCTGTGCCGATTCTCAGGAGATCTTCATCTATTCCAATGAATAGAAATAAAATCATATTTGCCAAAAGAAATCATTTTCTTTAATGCCATTAATTCTTGCTGGAGATTTCAATGTCAATTTTCGTTCAGAAGAATCTCAACCATTAATTGATTTTTTAAATAATAAATTTAATTTAACAATGAATAATTCTCCATTTGAATCAACCACAAGATATGGCACGACTATTGATGCAGTTTTCTCCAGAAATGTACATAGTTTACAAAGCAAAATTTATGTCTCTCATTTCAGTTATTACAAACCTATTATATCATATATGAAATATGATAGCAATTAATCTATCGCTGTTGTTTCAAACAGTGTTATTGATGTTATGTGATTATTAATAAATGATTTTTAAAATTCAAATATGATGTTTTTTTATATTTTTATCTTAATTGCCTACTCATACAATATTAAAAGTTTTACTTCAATCGCATGTGATCCTTACGCGCACTCTTTTTTTTATATAATAACATGTAATTAATAGAAAGATAATAGTTATACATAATCAATATACAATATATAAATATATATTTTTCATTATTTCAGCCTTGTATTAATTACATTGTTTGCAAAACAATTTTTTCTAGTAAGCATTAAATTTTGATAAAATAATAATTTAATTGACTTATAATTTTTCTTTTTGCTAAACATAACAATTTTACAAATATTCATAGTACTCCCAATTGAATTTTTATAACAATAAGGTTATGATACTTTATTCTTCTAACCGCGATCCACTTTTCCCGTTGATTTTCTTTCCACTTAGTTGTAGGAAATGTATAGATTTTGCAGTCACTTTTTCTGCTCTTATTTCTACAACGCACTACACAACAGCTTTTGTGGCCCATTTTTAATTATCTTATTTAAATTTGAAATAAACAAATATTGTATGTATTTTTGTTTAAAATTTCTGTCATAATAGCCTACTTTAATGCTCAAAGTAGCCACAACGAACGCTTCGGTCGATTTGACTTCCCTTTCCATGCCTTCGCACATAGCCAATACAGTTACGTCTGTGGCCGGCTTAACTTCAGAAATGAAAATTTTTATATATTTTTACGTTCTGGAGGTTTCTGAACATTTTGGCAGGGGTTAGCGTAACATTAATGTTATATGATAAAACACATACCGCCGAGAATAAGTGTCTCACTTATAATTCGAATATTTAATGATTAATTAAGGAACTAGCAGATCCTGCAATTTGCTTTAAGGCACGATGCCATATACAACTAATTTCAAGATTTATTTTTATTATCATAATATTATTATATTAAAATTATTTTTTTATATTTATAAATACATACATATTTTATCAAAGTAAATAATTCGCTGCTTGATGCGAGTTGATTCCATTCAAGAAGCGAATCAGCACGCATTACGATCGAATTATAAAAGTAACAATAATAATCTAACGTGTACTCTATCTATTTGTTTTAATGTTAATGTTATGTAGTAAGTTATCAGTTATTGACAATGTGAATATACTATTACTAAAATTATGAATTAATCAATGACTTATTAATGCTTTATTTCTTATGCATGTATTTTTCTTTCGTCTATGGTTCAGCCTGCATTGCCGGTAATCTTCGAGCAAATGTAAATTACTGTGCTTTGAAATGGATTGGTATTCGAATTGGTCGAAGAATGGCGCTAAGATTTCCAATTTCATTGATCTAGCTTGATCTTGATCTACATTGATTTGATCGCCATTTTCTATAAGTTTTCATCGCCTATTGTAGTTGAGATGTGTTATATTTGTTTTTCTGAGATTGTTTATATATAAACATGTTTTGGTGAATACTTTTTCTTTATTATTATGTTAAAATGGTAAAGTGTAATGTACCAAATTGTGATAATTCCAAATATAATAAAGCAATGCATGTCTTTCCGGCATCTAATTATCAGGTATGTATATAATGATGTATTATGCATATAATGAATATGTATCATAAAAATACTATTAAAATTTTATATATATATATATATATATTTGTGTGAAAAAAGATGCTTTCAATTTGGATGCAGAGGGCGAATAATCCTTTAATGAATGACCTAACTCTTCGGTTTGTGGCACAAACAGAATAGTTTTCAAGTCACTGGAGAATGCTCTGATATAGAACCAGAATAAAACTCTAAATACTTTAATACCATTTCCAAAAAATATTAATAAATGATTCTTTTGTTCTTAGTTAGAAGATGAAAGCCTAAAAACGTGAAAAAGATTTTTGCAGCACCCCTAAGATTGTCAAGTCACCTATTCTGACACCAGTTTTCCGCAAAGGTATTTTTTTTTCATAATAATTGCAGCAAAAATAATTAATTAATCAAATATGATATAACAATATATTCAATAGAAGTGCTTGGTGGTATCTGCAAATTGCCGCAGAATGCAGTAATAAGGCGTAGGAGTGCCTTAACACCCAGAAGAAGATGTATGATACATCAAATTTTGTTTCGGGATTAAAAAGGATTAACAAACAATGCAATAATTTAAAGGTAAAATCCAACAGAGTATACAATGTTCTGAAAAATTTTCAAATATTCCGGAAAAGTAAAATGTAAGGGCAAGAATTTTGATATTGAATAAAATCAGGATTAAAACGATAGATAGGTTTGAGCTACAATTACTTACGTTTAAAAAAACACTTATACAGGAACTATTCAAATGTAACTTTATTAATGATTGATTAGATAGCAAAATAACTATTAAATGGAGAGATAATAAAAAAGAATGTCTCGTAAATGAATTTTAATCCTATGAATTTAGTTTTATCTCAATTTGGATATCGATATATATATTTTTCGTTTTTAGGATTATTTTGTCTGGGAAGTATTCGTGCTTTTTTAAAAATTTACTGTTATTTTTATCCTTTTAAATAATAAATTTAAATTACTTGTCATTCGTTCTAAATTTGTCATTCCATCGTCAATGCTCCTGCGCTTTTCACTTCTTAGTTTTTAAGTTTTTAAAATATTTTTATATTAATCATTAAGTAATTAATATTAATAAGTTATTTCTCTTTAATTTGTAGTACTTTAAAAATATGTCTAATATACTTTAATTAATAGTAGTCAGTTATTTCTGTTTAGTTTATAATTTTTCAAAAATATGTCCATGATATATTTGAAAATATATTTTGTATTTCGTATGTTTTGTTCTTATTTCAAATATTAATTTTTTTTCTGATTTTTTGGCTGTATTGATTATATGTACAAATGTAGAAGTAATACCAGGGGTTAATTTACATACTGTACATGTGCTGCCATGTTGTGATTAATTCGTAAATTAAAATGGGTGTAACATCAAATCGCCCGAGATAGCGGTCTATTTATGCTTATTAACTTCCCGTAGGGCAAGTTATAGTAATCGCAAAAAAATCGAAAATGAAAATTTTTATATATCTTTACGTTTCAGAGGTTTCTGAACATTTTGGCATACCTTAGAAAAAATGAATGTATGTGTGTGTGTGTGTGTGTGTGTGTGTGTGTGTATGTATGTATGTATGTGTGTGTATGTATGTGCGGATACAAATTTTCGTCGACGATTTCGGGAACACGGATCAACCGATTTGAATAATTCAAAAAACATTCGATTCGTATTGATAAGGAGACGTGCTGATTAGTTTTTGGCGAAGGCAGGTCCAGCCGTTCCGAAGATACGGGGCAAAAAGTGCCGAAAAACGGTAACTCAGTTTTTAAGAGAACGGAGCGTCCGATATGAATAATTCAAAAAACATTTCATTTGTATTGACAAGATGAAGAATTAATGAAATTTTCATGAAGGCAGGTCTAGCGGTTTCGGAGATATGGAGGAAAAAGTAAAAAAATGAGCCATTTGGCGGTTAAAATTGATCATTAGACATATGCACATCAAATTATCAGATATTTTATAGAGATTTTAACAATAAGTATAAGTTTTTTTTACATTTTTATGTAAACGGGTTTCGTACCAATGCTTATGCGTTAGACGGCGGCGCGGCACTTGCGCGCTTTGACATTTCTCTATGTCTCTATGCAGTTCAAGCAGTACGATTGCTTTGAAAAAAAGTTCAGAATTTGCAAAATATGTCAAAATGAAGAAAACATTTTTCTTTTCAAAAAAAAAATTTGTTTTCAAAAAAAAAAAATTTATTCTTCAAAAAAAAAAATTTTTTTTCAAAAAAAAGTAATTTTTTGTCAAATTTATAGTTTCTCAAAAATCTAATTTTTTTGAAGTAAATTTTTTTCAAAAATGTTATACGTTTTTAAAAAAATAATTTTTGGTACGGGAAGTTCCAGCAATTTGCCTTAAGGCACGATGCCTTAATTGCCTTAAGACAGAATTCCACTTACAGCTAGTTTATCTATGGATCTACTTATGCTTATTTATCTGTGGATTACCGAGCATGATTTGATCTATGAATCTTAGATTCACTCTACGCTCTACTAGCATTCGTATTCTATATACTTCGTTGATGACAGCTGCTTCATATTAATTTCAAGTTCAACAAGTGGTTTTTGATATTTTTAGTTTAATTTTCTTTAAATTCAGTGATTTAGTGGACGATTGATAAAATGGCCTAAATTGGCGATGAAATTATTTATTTTGGTTAGTATTTTGATGGATTGACAATTATTTAATTTAATATGTGAAAGAAGAACAAAGAACTTTGACAGCTCAGAATGGTCAACAGCAAATTTCATAACCTCTGAAACAGAAGCGAAAGAAATTGTTGTAAACATCTTGAAATCAACACGAAGCACTATATATTTGCTTCACATTTATATTTATTGAGTTAAAAATGAAACACTAGTATTAAAATCACAAAATCTGCATTATTTCTATCAGAATCGTCAGCAGCAAATTTCGCCACCAGCGATTGTGGATGTTGGTGTCTATGTAAAATAATTCTGTCAGAATTATGTTTAAGATATTTATGTCAAAAACTTAAATATTAAGATTTAATTGATTTTATAGCAGTATTTTAATTTTTTATACCGAAAAGTTAAGTTTAAAACATATCCTGATAAGCCATGCTCACAAAAGATTTTGCTGCTAAGTGCTTTGCTGCTCTGAAAATCATTTTTTCATTTGTATATATCAGATTATTCTATAATTTCAGATATCGGTGAAGAAATACTAAACATGATGAAAGGTTTATGTGAATATTTTACTGAACAAAACCATCATATATTCTATATTTTATATGAGGCTATACGAGGTAACACAAGTAAAAGATCGTCTAAAGTAAGTACATACATGTTTTCCAAAATGTCCGAAAGATAACAATTTTATATTTTGCTCATGCATATGTCTGTAAAATAAACATCACAAGATTGATGGTAACTGATAGAATATGGTTATCGTTTTTTTCTTTTGCCACATTAATAAAATTAATGAAATACTTACTATTTCGATTATTGCACTTATAATGATTTTTTCTAAAAAAAAATGAAAGTATGAAATTTGTAGTGAAATTTTCTTGTATTAGTAATTTTGTCATTACTGAATTATTCCAAATTATCTATCGATTAATTAATTACTGCCCAGACAACACAAGACATCCTGGAAAACGTCCACAGGATATCCACGCGCGGACATTCATTGTCCCTGCGATAGCCTTACGGATATCCCGCTTATCCTGATCTTATCCGAAACATGTTAATATGTCGCACCTATGGGACGTTCTGTAGGATATCCCGCGCGGGATATTCCGGACATAAACCGGACATGAATAGGATATAATTATGGAATTGTTTTTTACTTTTTAGATGAAAAATAAATTTGGATTAAAAATAAAATAAAAGAACACAATTTCACAAAGTAAACTTTTATTACAAAATAACAAAATCCTGAGATAATTTTATAACAAAATTTAATATATACAACTTTAACTCAAAATAACTTATTTTACAATATTAAAAATATAATTAATTCGGCATTCAATCCTAGTTCATGGTTGATTTTCTCTCCTGAAATAGAAAACAAATGAATAAATGCATATATATGTATATATATGAGTAAGTTCTTTAAGAGCGATACATGAATCAAAATAGACAGAGATTTATAAAATAATCTCTAATTCCAAATATATCGACACAATTTGATGTCATTACGAGTGAATATTAAACTTGGTTTTTTACATCTAAAATGTGTACTCAGCACAAATTTTGCACTAACATTGATACAACTAACCAGTCAATTATCATGATTTTTTTGTAAATAGGAAAAACATATAGTACACATCTCACAAAAATACCTTGTATAATATTTATTGGCACGTCGCAGCCAGCTTTTTGCAGCCTCTGAAACAGTAAACTATGTCTCATGCGGCAAATTTTTCAAAGCAATTCCTGAATTAATTATATATTAGTTTAATTCATAATTTACAACACATCATAAGTATAAGATATATAAATTACCTGTGATGACATCGCAAGGCACTAGATCACAAAATTTATTTTTGCCCTTTCCTCGTCCCTAGCAAAATTCTTTGTCCAAACCATCATCAAAAATGGATTTTCATAGCTGGACTCTGATGGCTAAATACAGAATATAAAGAGAAAGTTTGTTTAGTATATGATAAAGTTAACAAATAAAAATAAATCTATATAAACTTTTGATTACCAATTGTATTTTGATATCTTTGCTCAGAAGAATAGCCTCCATAAGTTGAAGCTCCTCCAACAAACATAGTGGAGAGCATTTCTTCTTTGTTAATTCTCTTTCAAACACAGCATTTGATACAAAATTAGGCATGGCTGCTGGATAAGCTGGCAGGGTAGAAATGTCAGCATTAAATTAAAATTCTATTTGTACTAGTAACATAGTATTTCAAATAACAGTATACAGAAAGCTTTAATTACCATCGTTTATATCTGCCCCCTTTCAATATGTTGCTGCAATATTTATAACACACGCGAACATATAATTATATAGACCACATAAATTTCCACTATTATTACTCAATTTTAGAGTATTTGATAAATAATATTAATTATTTATAACACACGCTCATATAATTATATAAAACAAATAAAATTTCCACTATTATTACTCAATTACTCAAAACTATGACATATAGCGTCTATTGATACGCTAAACCTTAAAGGACGCTCCATGCCTACAGCCTACAGCCGACGCGACGGCGAAGAGAAAGGGACAAACATATACGTTTAGAGGTCTCAAGCCGTGCGCGTATGAGATCGACATGTTCGTGAACCGTTCGTTATACCTGCTCGAGTCCTTTGGTTTTGAGACGTCCCGTTGCATATTCATAGGATATTCATAGGATATCGCGATATTAGGAGATTGTGAGGACAAGTGGGACATTCCCTGGCATGTCTTGTGCTGTCTGGGTGTTGTCTTTCTCGTTCATGTGATTATTTTTACATTACAATTGCAATCAATACTAAGAGGGTCAGTATTAATGATAGTCTTAGCCTTTATTCACTCGGAAGTTTAAGTTAAATTTACAAACTGAACTAGTTGTTATTGGTATTTTGCCTTGAGGCAAGTTACAGGAACTTTCCGATATGTGTAAATAATCGACTTAATCAATAAAATATAAATCAATTTATGAGTGTGGGTATGAAAATGAACGAACACGTTAACTCGGAATATTTTCTAAGAGCAAATTTCCAAAAAACAACAATTTTTATAATTGAACCAGTTCCCGTAGGACTTTAATGGTTCAGTATGTTCATTAAGACCAAGTACTCTATCGTTATACCAAGTATCTAGCGTTATACCAAAATCGTCTAATTTTAATTTTAACAAACGTCAAAAAAACTACTCATTTTGTCAAACTTTGACGAAATTTTAAATTAAACTACTTGTCGTAAGGCTGTAATATCTCAGTAAGTTCTATAAGACCATGATATATATCGCCAAAAAAAGTTTCTTAAAAATCGGCTTAAATTTTTTACAGTTAATTACAAGAAAACGGCTCGGTAGATTTTCACCTAAAACTAATCAGTATCATTCCCAGCTAATATCTTTCGAACAGTTTTTGATTTTTAAAATCGATTCGGTAGTATGAGCTTAAATGAGGACGAAACGTTTAACACTTTTTTACAAATTTCAAAAGAACGGCTCGACTGATCGTCGCACAAAGCTGATAGTCCTCATCGAGATACATCAAATGGTTTTTAACTTCCCGTAGGGCAAGTTATAGTAATTGCAAAAAAATCGAAAATGAAAATTTTTATATATCTTTACGTTTCAAAGGTTTCTAAACATTTTGGCATACTTTAGAAAAAATGGATGTATGTGTGTGTGTGAGTGTGTGTGTGTGTATGTATGTGTGTGTATGTATGTACGTGTGTGTATGTATGTGCGGATACAAATTTTCGTCGACGATTTCGGGAACACGGATTAACCGATTTGAATAATTCAAAAAACATTCGATTCGTATTGATAAGGAGACGTGCTGATTAGTTTTTGGCGAAGGCAGGTCTAGCCGTTCCGAAGATAATGGGCAAAAAGTGCCGAAAACGGTAACTCAGTTTTTAAGAGAACGGAGCATCCGATTTAAATAATTCAAAAAACATTTCACTTGTATTGACAAGATGAAGAATCGATAAAATTTTCATAAAGGTAGGTCTAAGCGGTTTCGGAGATATGGAGGAAAAAGTAAAAAAATTAGCCATTTGGTTAATTAAGTACTAATTAAAAATTAGTACATCAAATTATCAGATATTTTAGCAATAAGTATACATTTTGTTAACATTCCTATGGGTTCCGTACCAATGCTTATGCGTTAGACAGCGACGCGGCGCTTACACGCTTTATATTTTGTCCATATGCAGTTAACTCAGTACGATTGCTTTAAAAAAAGTTCAGATCTTGCACAATAAGTCAAAATAAAAAAAATTCAATAAAAAAAATCTTAATTTTTTTTTTTTTTTTAATTTTTTTTTCAAAAAAAAAGTAATTTTTTGTCCATATATACGTATAGTTTCTCAAAAATCTTATTTTTTCAAAGTACATTTTTTTTCAAAAATGTCAATCGTTTTTAAAAAATTAATAATTTTTGGTACGGGAAGTACCAGCAGGCACGATGCCTTAATTGCCTTAAGACAGAATTCCACTTACAGCTAGTTAAATTTCTAAAATCGGTTCAGGCGTTTTTGAGCAATCGTCGATGAAAGTCTAATTTTGACAAATGCCAAAAAACGATACTAATTTTTGCAAACTTTTGAAAGCTAAACGAGTTGTCGTAGGACCGTAATATTTTAGTATGATCTAGAAGACGATGGTATCTACCGTCAAAAAAAATAATAATAAAAATCGTCGAAAAGAACTTTTTTTAACACTTTTTTAACCAAAAATTAATCAGCACGATTCCCAACCAATATCATTCGAACGGTTTTTGAATTTTTAAAATCGATTCAGAATTGCGGGCTAAAACATGGACGAAAATTTTTTCACTTTTCTGAAAGAGACGGCTCGGCCGGTTGTAGCGCAAAACTGACAAACGATAGTCCTCATCGAGATACATCGAATGGCTTTTAAATTTTTGAAATCGGTTCAGCAGTTTTTTAGAAAACGTCGATTTATTGTAAAAAGTCTGTTCACACACACACACACATACCTTTTCCAAATTTGGTCTTATTCGATTCAGAATAGCTTGAAACGTCGAGAAAACATAAAATTAGCGATTCGGATTTTTTGATGAAAACATAAACTTCTCTAGGAAGTTAATTATTAACTTTGTTATGGCAACGCTATGTTAACCTGTTTCTTTGTATCAAAAACTGTGAAAATGCTATCTATTTACTGTGGATCGTTCGGCAATAGATCGCTTGATCGCTTGATCGCACAGCAAATATATAGCATTTTCACAATTTTGTGGTACCTAAAAACAAGTATAACAGTGTAGCCATAACAACGCTATGTTATCGTCTATTTTATCGCAGAATTGGCTCCAAAATTAGTATTTGATTTTGATTGAAATAGAATACTAAATGTTCTTGAATGTTGGTTACAAAGAAGAGAGACCCTTTAGACCAGTGATTCCCAACCTTTTTTGGGGCCCGCCCTACCCTGAGGTTTCTAAAAACGTTATGCCCCCCATACATTTTTTTTGTTCCTAAAAATCTTAATGATAACTTTTAAGATAAAATCACTATTAAATTGTTATTAAACATCATAAGTAAAATCTTGGAATAAGCCAAAAAACGGATTTTTCAAACTAATTTTAATACTGTCATTTCGAAATTTATTTAGTGCGATACTTAAGCTTGTACGCTGCACAAAGATTTTATATTAAAAAAACATATTTTTTATTTCAAACCCGGAACAGGAATTTGAATCAGGTTGACAACTAAGTAAGGGCGCATTTTTGTTAGAAATTTTTTACGTGGAATTAAATAACTTTTTTGATGACATATTGTTATTTTCCAAAAAGCATCATTATAAAAATACGCGTATAAAACTTCCAGTTTTTATTAGCAAAAACTGAATTATGGACTATATGACATCATCATATATTTTTTTAATTCAAAGGTTTTAATCAAATTGTTTATGGTCAGGACTATTTGGTGGATGTGGAGAAACATTCCAATTAAGCCCCAATAATTTTTAAACATGGCCAAATATGTCTATTAGCCGAATCGATTATTGATTTAATTAAGTTGTCCACAATTTTAACTGGACAATCAGAGCAGCATAAATTGAAAATCACATTTTTTGAGGCTTCGATACCGTAAACTGCACCTAACTTTTTGGATCATCGTTTTTTCCTTTTTAGAAATGAAAATACAAAATATGACAAAAATGATTGTCTTGATTTTCCATCTTTCAACGAACGCTGAACGAAAACTACGCAACCGATTAAAAAAGTATTTTCTGCTGATAGACTGCTGAATTCCTTATTATACAATAAAACAATGTAGACTACCTCAGCAAATCTAAAGATTTATTTGAAGCAATCTAAAAGTAAAAACCACACTTAGTTGCCATTTAAGGATACTATAAGAATCAGTTTGTTTTAAATTAATTTCATCTTTAGCTATAGTTACTGACAATGAGTAAAAAACTTACGTCAAAATTCTGTTTGCATTAAACTTTGCTATCAACTTTAGTAAAAAAATATCACTTTTCTTGTGCATCAATCTTGTTACTGACCTTAAGGCACTTGTGAAGAGCTTTTTGGATCCTTAGAATTTTTGCATTCCGCAACATTCCTTTGATAATGTTTAGTTTTATATAACCAGTTTATCGCATATATCATTTTCAGATTATGATTAGGTAGTTGTAATTTCATTATAAAGTAATGAGGAAAATTACTTAATTCAAGCTAACCTTTTTAAAAAGCCATATCCATGGCACCGGAGAAGCAACGTTAAAAATTAGGAATGTTCCGACCAAACGGGGACAACTTAGTTAGATCTAAGAAGCTTTTTTTTATTAATTGTTTTACTGATGCTATACTGCATCACATTCATATCACCAACATTTTCATATTGCCCCCCTGAACTTACAAATTGCCCCCCGGTGGGGCGTGCGCCCCACGTTGGGAATCACTGCTTTATCAAAAGTTATCCCTAGCATTATCAAAAGTTGATTCTAATTTAAGGTGAAGGTCGATATTAATCCTCGCTCATGCTAAAAACTCTGTTCAAAGTATAAATGTTTGCAGAAATTGATATTAATCTAGAATTTGGTGTAGAGTATTGTATAGGTAAAATTATGGAAGCAATAAATTTAAGCTTCAATAAAAACTTTCAATTCTCTTTAATGGATACTTTATCACTAACTACATTAAATGTGAAACTTACTAACTTATCACCTAATTTTATATTAACATTTGCATAACCTTTTGTATCCATGATTGCACCAAAATCTCCTTAAATTTTAATTATATTATTCCTAAGAGTCCAAAAAAGTTCTTTCTTAATTTCAGGTTGATTACTGAAGTTAAGAAAAGTATTCTACCTCCTCTGCTGCACGTTAGGTTGCTTAAAATAAAACTTAAATTGAAAACAGCAATAGAATCAGGATTACACCCAATCTGATGAAAACTTGGAAGATTATAAAAATAAAAAACCAAGCATGTAATGGAATATCAATGTCAACACAAGGTGAATATACTATAGCATACAAACCGATGTGGGAACTAGGAACAGTAAATGTGCCAAATACTGACCCAATTGTTGAGGTGAAATTTTCTCCTAGCTTTAGCTCGTATGCTTTTTTATCTTGCCCAGTAATACATTGATTAACAATCATATCATACCTCCTACTATCCTAGGTAGATAATATATTGTATATAATATATAATATTGGTCAAGCTAATTTCAACACAATATTTTTACTACTCATATTTTTGTTAAGTTTTTATGGTCAGTACTACTCGATTAAAAATTGTTCATTACTGGAAGTTTTATCCAGTTTTACTATAGATCGACAAAATTGAGAACACCAGCTATATTTAATATATAGGAATATGCTATATATAGAAAATATTTAATATATTGAAAAATGAGAATTTTTAGTATTTTTTTCTGTTATTAAACGATGTTTTTTACAAAAATAATAATACGGTATTATTATACAATGTTTTGACTTGAAGTAACAAAAATTTCAAAAAAAAAAAAAAATCCCAAAGTCATAGCTGTTTTTATTGACCCTGTTTCAAAAAACTGTCCTGGCGGTGACCGTCATTACTCCTTGTAGATTAATCTAAAATCAATCAAATAAAAAAAATAGTTCTATAATTAGATAATCCTGGGCCTGATCGAAGGTTTTCTTTTTTTTTGCAAAAATTAACAAAATGGCAGCATCCGAAATTTTTTTCTAGATTTTTGGGTAAAAAATGAACAGTTAATTAATCTTAAAAAATTGAAGTTTTTGAAAAAATAAAAATCCTTTGATCAGGCCCGAGTTTATCATGTATTCTAAAAGCTGTATAAATTTCATTAAAATTTACTAAGCGGTTTTTGAGTTACAGTGGTCACCGGTTCAAAAAACATAGTTTTGAGAAAAACGCGTTTACAGTTCAGAAATTCGAATTATTGAATTACTTAAACCAAGTCATTTATTTCTGGGCCATATAATAGTTCGTCAGTCATTGTTCAGTCATTGTTCGTCAGTTTCCAAAATTTCCATTTGCTGTTGCCTACGAAGCATTCTGGCCTCCCGAGTATTCTGGTTGGCGCGCTACTTATACTCACAATTAGGTCCTAGGGTATCCATAATCACTAATAATGATTATGTATATGCATTCAGCAATTTGTACGATAGTAGAACTAGTATTCACGGTTTTTAGGCATATTTTTTACACTAGTTGGTTGAAGATTTAATTTTTTCTGATTATGGATTCAATATTGAACTACACATCTTGAAAGTAAATTATCATTGCTGAAATCGTCATAAATCGGTTTAAAAGCTTTTAAAACATCAGGAGGTGAGGGAGAATAATTTTGAGTATAAGTATCGAGCTCTCCACTTGCGTCAATGTACTGGTAAGAGTCCAATAACTCAAAAAGTAATTATTGGATCAACTTGAAATTTTCAGAGAATATTCTCAAGATAATACACTTATGAAAATGCAAAAAAAATAAAAATCGATTTTTCAAAAATTCCAAGTACCCCTAACCCCTTAAAGGACTGCAAAAAATGTTGAAGCTTACGCAGTAACCTGCGGACCACTTCAGCAGAACAAACTAAAATTTGCCACTATTAGTAGAGAATTATTTATAAATCTACTAATTTTTTCAAAAAGAAAACTTCAGTAAGAGTAACATGTTAGTCAGTGTTACAAAGAATTCAATTGAGTACTCTTTCAAAAAAGTTCATATATTTTGGAGAACAAGCAGCATGACAATAGGATTGTGAAAATAGAATTTTGAAATCTTTGGAATGGAGTTAGATAAAGTTGCTCCTATGTAAATTTATCAAAAGTGAGCCAATATAGCTAGTTTTGGCATATATTAAAATGATTATAATGAAAAGTTTGTACGGTACACATTGTAGACAACTAGCTTCAATAATTTTTGTGGCTACTATGTGATCGACAATAATAAAAGATTTATGGTATCATTACAAAATATTGAAAGTTTCTCACATAAACAAAGTCGTCATTTAAGGAGTCCAGGCATGGAAAGTCGAAAAGTGAGCAGAAAACGTGGGCGCTCTATTACAGACAAAGATAATATAGTATCAAAGAGGCCACACAGGAATGTAAATGTTACTAATGAAGACTTAGAATTTCCTAGTGATTTACAGTATAAACCAGATCAAAATGAATTGGATGATACTTGTCAAACGAAGCAATACATTCCTTATCATTTGATTGGACTTATGTATCAATTAGACTTGTCTGTGCTTTGCTTACTTAGAAAGTATAAATATGAACATAAATACCCTTCATTGTCATTAGTGTTTGGAGATTTTGTAATTGACAAATTTAGTAATATTGTTCTCCGCTACAAGGGTAAGTCTATTCATATACAAGTTGAAAATGTAGATAATTATATAGATAGTAATATTAGTTACGCTAGGTTATTTAATAAAGAAAGACGGAGTTCTTCTATTAATAGTTACTTTGATAGTTTTGTTAAACATGTAATTTCTAAGTCAGATAGTTTATATAATGTGAAATACCTTATGGTCTACACTAATTCAGGCTTGGATCTTACAGAAGAAAAGGAATTAAAACAAGGTCGATCCAAAAACTTTTATCCTTTTAAATTTCGTTGTATAAATATAGAGGAATTTGACATTTTTAAAAAAAATTTATTCACAAGTAATAACATGCAAGGGCGTGGATTTTATCAGTTTTCCCAAGATAAAACAACAAGAGAAGAACTCTTAAAGCGATTAATCTTCTCGCCTGCCGTGCAGAAAGTAATGAAAGAAAGAGAGCATTCTCAGGGATTTGAAAAGGAAATAAAAGAAGCATTTTTAGATAAATTAGTATTTGCAGTTAATCAACCTAATAGAGAAGAGCTGAAGATCATTATCAAAAGTAAAATGAAAAAAAATAGTGAAGCTCAAGATGATTACAATTATATAACGTTGCAAGAAGAAGTATTAAGTAATTTAGAAGAGCATAAAAAACTTGGCAACTATATATCTGGGATTATATATGAATTTAATTTATTAATCCTTTTCTTTCATGATATGTACTTGTATAAAAATATGTATTCCATAAATTTTGAGGGAAAAAGCCGTGATACATCTAATAATATTACTATCAATTATAAAGGTAAAGTTACTTACTTAGAAGCTCATATTGCAGATATTATTATTGATTATGGTCAATTATTTCCCTCCAGACAACGGAATAATATGTTTTCTATTGATAAGATTTTTACTCATTTTGTTGAGAAATTAGGAGAAAGAGTAAAATATTTTATTATCTATACTAATGCAGGCCTGGATCTTACGGAAGAAAATGAATTAAAACAGGGGCAATCTAAAGATTTTTATCGTTTGAAATTTGATATTGTGGATATTCGAAAGAAGAAGTATAAAATTTTAAGACATTGTTCATGTATAGATGGAAATGGTCTTTATCAATTTTCGCAAGAGGAAACAACAAGAAAAAAGCTTTTAAGTCTATTAAATCTTCCACCTTCTTTACAGAAAGAAGGAGTACTTTCTTATGAGGATGAAAAACAAACAAAAGAGATATTTTTAGATAAATTAGTATTTGCAGTCAACCAGCCTAATAGAAAAAAGTTGAATAGTGTTATTAGATATAAGATAGATAATGATACTAATATTTCTTATAATTGTGAAGAGCTAAATGAAATAGTATTGCGTTGGCTAGAATCTCATGAACTTGGTCCTGCCAGAAAAGCAGTAATAGAAAAGCTTTTAGAAGATATAAAAAATAATAGATCTAGTTATCAGGATATTCAAAGTAAAGACGTTAATGAGGAAATTAAATTTGCTAAAAGTGTTGTTGGCAGAGAAGGAACATATATGTTTTACCAGTTCTTAAGTTTTTTAGTGAAAGGAGAAGGAAAAAAGTATCTAGAAGTTCTGAAAAGAAAAGTAACAAATCTATCCACTGTATCCAGTGTTTTGCATGGAGCAGGAGATAGTGCTGTAAAAGCTTTTAAAGACTTGTATGATTTTTGGTTTGATGAAAAAGGAAATAAAACGCAATACTTAAAAACTCTGGAAGAAGAAGGAATAAATTTAGCTAATATATCGAGCATTTCGCATGGAGCAAGAGCTAATGCTGCAAGAGCCTTTAAAGACTTGTATGATCTTTGGTTTGATCAGAATGGTAAAAAAACAAAATATTTAATAAAATTACAAGAGAATGGAATAGACCTAGTTTGTGTGTCTAGTATTTTAAGTGGAGCAGGATCCTGCGCTTCTAAAGCTTTTAAAGATTTGTATGACCTTTGGTTTGATAAGAAAGGAAATAGAACACAATATTTGAGAACTCTAGAGGAAGAAGGTATAAAACTATCTAACATGTCCAGTATTCTAGGTGGAGCAGGAAGCAATGCTCCTAAAACTTTTAAAGATTTATATTATCTTTGGTTTGATGAGCAAGGAAATAAAAAACAATATTTAAAGACTCTAGAGAAAGAGGGAGTAGATCTATCTAATATGTCCAGTATCTTGCATCGAGCAGGAAGTAATGCTTCTAAAGCTTTTGAAGATTTATATGATCTTTGGTTTGATGAGCAAGGAAATAAAAAACAATATTTAAAAACTCTAGAGAAAGAAGGAATAGATCTATCTAATGTATCCAGCATACTAGGTGGAGCAGGAACTAATGCTCTTAAAGCTTTTATAGATTTATATGATCTTTGGTTTGATGAGCAAGGAAATAAAAAACAAAGTTTAAAAGCCCTAGAAAAAGAGGGCATAAATTTATCTAATATATCCAGTATTTTAAGTGGAGCAGGATCTAGTACTGCAAAATCTTTTAAAGACTTATATGACTTTTGGTTTGATAAGCAAGGGAATAAAAAACAATGTTTACAAGCTCTCGAAGAAAGAGGAATAAATATATCTAATATGTCCAGTATGTTGCATAGAGCGGGAGCTAATGCTCCTAAAGCTTTTAAGGATTTATACAATATTTGGTTTGATAAATACGGTAATAGAACACAGTATTTAAAAACTCTAAAGAAAGAAGGAATAAATCTATCTACTGTATCTAGTATTTTACATGGTGCAGGAACTAAT